CTGATCTTTCTTTTGTAATGGTAACTTATAGTTAGGTGTCAACCGGTAGTATATCCTGATCCTTCTTTTATAATGGTAACTTATAGTTAGGTGTCAACCGGTAGTATATCCTGATCCTTCTTTTATAATGGTAACTTTTAGTTAGGTGTCAAACTGCAATATATCTTAATCCTTCTTTTATGATGGAAACCTATAGCTAAACGTCAACCGACAATATATCATAATATTTCCTTTATAATGGAAACTTATAGCTACTTGTCAACCAGTAGTATATTTTAATCATTCTGTTATAATGACAACTTGTAATTAAGTGGCAATATATCGTAAGCCTTCTGTTAGAATGGGAATTTATAGTAATTGTTAACCGGCAGTATATTGTAATCTCTATGTTAAAATAGAAACTTATAGTAAGTGTCAACCGGCAGTATATCGTCATATTTACGTTAAAATGGAAACTTATAATAAGTGTCAATGATAAAGTTCTTCTAATTCAGTATTTATTAAAATAAGCTTTCGTTATCTTAGATGTATTAGGGTTAAGTGTAATCGGTCACAAAGTTTGGTTGTTTGTTTTAGAGCAAAGCCACATTAGGCTATCTACTGTGTTCACTGCGGAGAATCGAACCCCGGAGTTTGGCGTTGTAAGTCCGTAGATTTACCGCTGTTTCCCTGAAGTTTATTTCAGAAACAAGGGTAGGAACACTTATTGTTTTTTGTCGATTATAAACTCACCACAAATACTAATCTCATGTAGGTGCTGTTACCCGCATACCATCTCATCTGCATAACTACGCAGCAGTATTCTTGCAATATTAAGTTAGGAGGCCATAGAAATTAAAAACTATTTTTTTTTACACGTAGGCCAATATATAACAAAGCTGAAGCACCTTTAAACATTACCATAAGTTTGATTTATTGTCTTTGAAAAGTCAAAGCATTACCTGTACTGACGTAATTCGCACTGTATCCTTTCAGTTTCTTTTCTTGCAGGTGATTCGTTTTTGTAACTTGATTTTCTAACCTGGTTCGATTGGAAGGACTTTTCCGGTCAGTTTGGATGAGTATGTTACTCTGAATATCTTTAGGATAAAGATGCCCGAAATCGTAGAAAAACAAAACAACGGCGAAGAAGAAAACACCAGGAATAAAAGTATTTTTAATTAAACGAAACAATCTCATTCTAATTGTACTGCACTTCTTTCCCTATTAAACTGTTTAACTTATTGCGTGAACGTCGTCTTCCTCTGCTTGTATTTTGAGTCCCTGTTCGTGTAAGGCTCGTCGTAAATACAAAGTCGTGAACTTTAATCACGCATGCGCGTTAATGTGTACTTTTTTTTTTTTCTACCCGCTTATATGTGTGTGTGTGTATATACAGATGCTGTCTTTTGACCGTAGCTATCGAAAGTTTGTAGGTGTTTCTGTATTATGCGTGTCGTGATGCGGTTAGGGGTATAGCTACAGGAATCATTTAATAAAAATGTTTCATATACTCAATCATTATGTCTGTGGAAGCTTCAGCAGCTTTTGAAATATGCCTTTTTCATTATTCACGATAATATAAACTATCTCAATGCAGCTGAAGGATAAGTTATGCCATAAAAAACAGTATATAATGCAAATTCAACCGTTTCATTTTGAGAGTGAAAATATCTAAATGTTTATCTAGTAAGCACATTTTGTTTAAACATACATCATAGCAATACCAATAGGAATTAGGGTTAAGTATAAATATAATAGTCAGAAACTGAACTAAACGTAGGTTTGAATTTTGTAAAAATAGAAAATAAATAAATATATATCTCGAGTTTTATTTTTGGGTTATATTTTCTATTCTAACCGAATGTTTGAAAATATTATAAATAAAGTTAAATAATTTTGAAACTGAAACTTAGAGGGATCTATCTATCTATGCACAAAGCGATACAAAGGTAAAAAGTTATATATACTTGGTAGTGTACGGTATACGTAAATATATATACACACACTACATATATTTATGAATATATATATATGCATGCGTAAAATATAAGTTATTGTTTCAATTTTTAAAGGTAAATTATTTCGGTTGATTCATTTTTGGTGCTTAAAAGAGTGGAGAGAAGTCATATTTCCTGACAAAGTAAAAGTGGTTTTCTTCCTTTTTTTTTACCTTCAGTTACACGCTACACCTACCGTATTTTCCAATCAACGATACTGTATATTGTTGTTGTGTTGCTAAGCGACATTCTAGAAATAAGGAATGCCTTGTGTTCTTAGTTACGGTGTATATATATTACAAAGGTGTTTAAATGCCTTAAATAGTCCATTATTTATGATATCATTTATATTCAAACGATTGGATCTTGCAGGACCCGTGAAATCTTCAATATCACGGCACTATTAATAATTTTCCAAGTAAAGTTAAATGCTGTTCGCTGTTTATCTGTTTTTTTATTGTATGATTATAACTTTGATAGGGTTTTCAGATGACATTTGCACATTTGTTTACACAGTTGTCTTTGTTACATTATCTGGGCACGAACGAGCACACGCCAAAGTTACACAATGGGTATCGAAACCCAAATTTTAGCGTCATAAGTCTGTAGACTTTCTGCTGAACCACTGGGGGAGGTGCTTCTGTTTGTTTGTAGTTAAGCACAATGCTATACAATGGGCTGTCTGTGCTCTGTCCATCACGGGTATCGAAACCCAAATTTTAACGTCATAAGTCTGCCTACTTGTAATTTTTCATAAACTTGTCATCAATATTAACCTATCTACATGGAGGAAAGCTATAATAATGTAAAAGTAACACATTCGTTAACGAAGATAAACAAGCCTACATATTTTGGCCGTCCCTAATTTGGAACTACTAAACTAAAGGGAAGTCAAATAATGGAAGTCAGCGAGTTAATTGTAACCAGCGCCAACTCTTAGGCTAGTCTAACCGAACGGAGTCGTTTTACCGCCGCTACAATAATGCGCTTACGACTCCAAAGTGCGGAGAGCGATTTTTCAGACCATCGGATTCCACAGTCCTGTTCCTTAATTACTATATTCGACTCCAAAGCAAAAACAAATAAGCAAAAACGAACCGTGTTTACCGATTTGAGGCTGTGACACTGAAAACCAGTCGCTTTGATTAATATTTTTCAAACGCGCAACGTTTTTTTCTTTCCATGGTTAGAGAGGTTAAAACTGCATAAACTCTTGACATGAGCGGATAATGTAAACAGCGTATAGAAGAGGCTGTGATTGTGTTAAATTGACGCAAGAACACACGTTCGTGAACTTCGTGTTATGTAACATATGATGCTAAATATAACCACGCTCAATAAAAGGGGCTTTAAACCTCGCGTGGTTAATCAAAGTGAAAAAACTTACAATTGTTAAACTAAGTCTTTTAGTGACTTTTAGTGACTCTTTCCATATGAAACACGTTTTAGATCAGATTGGATAACAAGGCCACCTGGTGATTTCAGTTTAGAGCAGTTTCAGCACACATTGGTTCAATTAAATTAAGTCGATGTTAAAGGTAGCTGTTAATTTAACAGCTTCGTTCGCTTTTATTAACATTATTTAAAGAAGTTTGCGCAACTATATTTAATTATATAGTTATACAAACCATGATGTATGAAGGTGTGTTTCTCTTCATCTTCCGAAAAAAGTTGTTATACTAGTATATGAGCTTATGGAAAGACCTTTCCAGTGACTGATACCAGATCTTGAAGTGGGCTAATTTATACGTTTAGAGCATATAATGTCATAGTATTCAATATACATAGTATACACCGGTACCTTTTGAAAGAATTATCTCGGATTATGAAGTGTCTACACTAATCTTTTTTTCAAAGAATAACTTCAGGTTATGAAGTGTCCACACTAATATTTTTCCAAAGAATAACTTCAGGTTATGAAGTGTCCACACTAATATTTTTCCAAAGAATAACTTCAGGTTATGAAGTGTCCACACTAATATTTTTCTGAAAAATAACTTCAGATTATGAAGTGTCCACACTAATATTTTTCTGAAAAATAACTTCAGGTTATGAAGTGTCCACACTAATATTTTTTCAAAGAATAACTTCAGATTACGAAGTGTCCACACTAATATTTTTCTGAAGAATAATTTCAGGTTATGAAGTGTCCACACTAATATTTTTCAGAAGAATAACTTCAGGTTATGAAGTGCCCACATTAATATTTTCCCGAAGAATAACTTCAGGTTATGAAGTGTCCACACTAATATTTTTCTGAAAAATAACTTCAGGTTATGAAGTGTTCACGCTAATATTTTTCTGAAAAATAACTTCAGGTTATGAAGTGTCTACACTAATATTTTTCCAGGTAGAAATATGATAAATTCTGAGTGTTTCTTACTCTGATTTACGTGCAGAAATGCTGCTTCTCTCTTTTACAACACGCGATCCCCTTTTACAGAATACGAAGCTATACTGTTTGAATTTTAAAATATCTGTTAGACACAATTTATATTACTAGTGTTAGGCTTAGCTCATACATTATTACGTTATAGTAACAACAAAATTAAAGCATATCAGGTATTCATATCAGTTTGTTTGTTTGTTTGTTTTTGAATTTCGCTCACTCGAGGGCTATCTGGGCTAGACGTCCCTAATTTAGCAGTGTAAGACTAGAGGGAAGGCAGCTAGTCATCACCACCCACCGCCAACTCTTGGACTTCTCTTTTACCAACGAATAATGGGATTGACCGTCACATTATAACGCCCCCACGGCTGAAAGGGCGAGCATGTTTGGTGGGACAGGGATTCGAAGAAAACCCGTACTCGTCGTGGGGCTAGACCCATTACCGGCTGTTTAAAACCAGCACTGCAACCGAACCGAACTAAGTTTATTAAATCTGTCTGTAACGAAAAATGTACGAAAATGTACTTTTTAAATGGTACCTCATTAAATGCTCTATTTATTTTAGCGATGACAGATTGACTAAACATAGGTTATAAATAAGCAGGTATATATATATATATATACAAATAAAGATACAATTAGCATTATAAGAGGATTTCGCGTTTTGCTTATTTAAAACTACACTGGGCAGTATAATTTACCAATATAAAAAACTGTTGTATTAACAAAGGCTGGAAATGCAAAAAAGAAATTATAAAATTCACAACTATGGTTTGTTTTAAGGTCTGGCATATTCTAATGGTTAGGAGTGCTCGACCCTAATCTGCGGGTCGCGAGTTCGAATCTTGTCACGAAACATGCTTGCCCTTTCAACTGCAGGGCGTTATAAAGTGACGGTCAATCCTACTTTTTTGTTGGTAAAAGAGTAGCCCAAGAGTTGGCGGTGGGTGGTGATGACTAGCTGCTTTTCCTCTAGTCCATCACTTCAAATTAAGGAACGGCTAACACAATCAATATCCACACCAGAAAGGATGTGACGTCAACTTTTATTAGTCACAAGGTTCAATAAATTTTGGATACAAATTTAATTGTTTTGAACGCTATGTTAATATTGTAATGCTTGCTTTATAAGGCAGTAGTATATTCTAATTTTCCCCAGTTTCTTCCCTTTTGGAAGGTGCGGAGTGCGATTATGTGGCAACGGCTTCCGAACCACTAATCTTCGGATACACAGTCTCTTATCAAACAGAAGAAATGCTCAAGATACAAAACGTTGCTGCTATCAATTTAAACCACACGTCATGTTACTGAATTATGTTTTTAGTCACCAAGTTTGATCTTGAATTATCCTGTCAAGGTACGGAACGTTGCTGCTATCAATTTAAACCACACGTCATGTTACTGAATTATGTTTTTAGTCACCAAGTTTGATCTTGAATTATCCTGTCAAGGTACAGAACGTTGGTGCTATTCATTTAAACCACACGTCATGTTACTGAATTATGTTTTTAGTCACCAAGTTTGATCTTGAATTATCCTGTCAAGGTACGGAACGTTGCTGCTATTCATTTAAACCACACGTCATGTTACTGAATTATGTTTTTAGTCACTAAATGTAATCTTGAATTCATCCATATGTTTACTTCGAAATGCCATTTCACTAGGTTTCCTTACACTAAACAAACAGAAGGTTTATAAACACCGACTTGATCAAACGCTCTTCCGAATAGAAGAAGTACTGACTACGAGAGGGCGCCACATCTGAAAAATCTCTTTAGCGAAATAAAGAATCTGTGAGCAGTCCACGCAGTTTATCTAAGACCTAGCAGTAACTCCACTAGTCAGTGGGACTTGCATCGCAGTGATGGAAATAACTTCTACCTACACACTGTAAAGTAATTCGCTGTCGGTGTAAGGTTTTATGTTAATAACACAACAAGCAAGTGTTAGGTTACATCCATTAGAGAGGTTTCTCTCTCTCTCTGTCTCTTTTTTTAATTCACCTGTCCGTAAAATAAACTATTGTAACCTTGAAGCACGAACTGGGGGCAGTTTTTTTAACGCCTGTTTGGTAGATAGCTGAAAAAACAACAAACAAAACAAACACAAACGAAATAAGATTAGACAGCAAGAACCCCCACACATTTGTTTCTCTGGAGGAGATTTGACTGTTGATTTTTTAAGCCTCTAGAATCGGTGATAATTACATTGAGCAGAGATGAACGCATTGTTTAAGCTTCAGGTAGCTTTATGTTTCGTGATATTAATTGTAAACATTGAAGGTGAAAGAATCAGGAGAGTATCTAACGATACCAGAAAGCTTGTGGAGCTGTTCGGTTTGGCCAACGGTCAATCGAAACGTGAAGCTGACCTTGACCATAATAAACGACCTATCAATTTGGTAGTTCTTGCCCCAGAAAACGACAGCCTGCCATATGCCCTTCACAAGATCCTTCCTTCCATTCAGTACGCCGTGAAATCCGTTCAGGACCAGGGCATCCTGGGCGATCGTGCCATCAAAGTTTATGCACGAGACACGAAATGCTCCTCTACTTACGGGCCTTTGGCCGCGTTCAATATGTATTACAACAAATTGGTTGATGTTTTCCTGGGTCCGCTCTGTCCGTACGCGCTGGCACCGGTCGCTCGATACACGGCGGTCTGGCAGATACCGATATTGTCTGCCGGTGGACAGATAGACTCTTTTGACTACAAGGCAAAGTACTATTCGTTGCTTACTCGCATGAATGGTTCCTATTCTCAGATTGGGCACATTTTTCAGGAGGTGCTGTTAAATTTTAGCTGGCGAATAGTGGCGTTTCTCTATCATAACTTTCAGGACCGTTCCCGCGGTAAGTCCAACTGTGCTTTCACCCTCGGTGCTGTCTCCCATGCTTTAAACAAGAAGGATTACCATGAACGGGATTTTGATGAAACGCTGTCCGAGGTTCCCTACCACAACCTGCTTCAGGATGTGTCCAAACATGCCAGAGGTGAGTCTGTTTGTTTTGTTTAAGCGCAAAGCTGCAGAATGGGAATCGAACCCCGGATTTTAGCATAGTAAGTCCGTAAGCTCACCATTGACTTCCTGGTGGAAGCTAGAGGTGAGTTTGCTTATTTTGTTTAAGCGCAAAGCTATACAATGGGAATCGAACCTCGGATTTGAGCATTGTAAATCTGTAAGTTCACCACTGACCTACTAGTGGAAGCTAGAGGTGAGTTTGTTTGTTTTAATTTAGCGCAAAGCTACACACTGGACTATCTGTGCTTTATCCACCATGGGGAATCGAACCCCGGATTTTAGAGTATTAAGTCTATAAACTCATCACTGACTCACCCAGTTTTGTTTGGAAAGATGATAGCTATAAAATTATGTCTTGAGTTTTTTAAAAACTGGCGGGTAAAAGCTTTACGAAAATATTAAATATTATCTATTGTAAATTAAGATATATGAGTGGATGAAAAAAAAACAGTTTTGTTGATAGACAATAGGGAAAGCAGCTAGTCAACAGCACCCATCGCCACCTCTTGTGCTATTGTAGTCGAATTTTTAAAGCGCACCCACATCTTCAAAGTGTAGAGCATGTTCTTGTGGCCACAGGTCGCGAATCCTCGGATTCGTATTCTGGATATATTGGCTGCACGTAATCGTTGATAAAATACACATTTACATAAGCTGAAGAAATATTATTATTATTATATTTAGATAATGATACTTATTGGCTCAAACCTTTAATAATACATAACGTTTTACCGAATGATCTTTAAATTATCGATATTAGTATGTTGATGTAAGTGAGATGTTTCGGAAAAAAGTACAATATTTTTTCAAAAAAAACCTTCCTTCTTTTGAATTCAAATTAGATATGAAAATTTGATCAATTAAGATCCCGACGACAATTTTTTGAAGACGCGGCGCTGAGCTGGTAATAAGTCGTAAAAAATTAAATCTAAATATAAATACGGTTTACTGTTTAATATAGTCATTCGACTACTGTATTTATCTAATATATTCATTATAGAAGAACGCGGTGCTAAGTTGGTAATTGGTCGTAAAAATTTAAATCTAAATATAAATACGGTTTACTGTTTAATATACTCGTTTGACTATTATGTTTATCTAATATATTAATTATAGAGAAAAAAAGGGCAAACTTAAGATTTTTGTATTCAGAAACTTGTTAAAATAAAGTAAATATCTGAAGTCGAGTGAATCATTAGAAGTACAGCTAATAATTTCTTAATGACAGAGTCTTTTATTAAACTACTAAAACCACATTATCTAAATATGATGAGCGTGGCCTCATGCTTAGTGTGACGGGCTGCAGATCCAAAAAAGTCAAGAGGTGAGTCTGGAATATGCCACTAAATACGCTCCACACTTTCAGTTGTGTATGTGTTATGAGAATGACAGTCAATTCCTCTATTCAGAGGAGAGTGATGCTGATTGACAGCTCCCTCTCTCTGGTCAGCAGTTCTAAACTAGCAACTATTATGTCTAAATCTTGGGGTTTCTGACGTGGTGATTTCGCCAAGTGCTATTCAGGTTGAAAACATTAACATCTTTGTTGCTATAGAAACTCAAAATCAGTCTCGTATATGTTTTCTATTTGGAGTGCCACGTGAGCAATCAAGAAACTGGCGTGCTTGTTTCTGATAGGTTAATAAACGTCTTCTTCCAATAACGTCAGGATTTCCTTGTTAAGAAGAGTTTTCAGTTGACTGATCAGATGAAATGAATTCATAGTCAAATATGGTACTTTGTAGAACTCCAAGATGTTATTAATATCTTACAAGTTTCTACGGTTGTATATTCATATAACCTGGGAAGAAAACAACTGACGAAATTTGAACCCCCGTTTTTTGTACAGAAATAGCAACATGCACAAGTTCTGACGCCCTTTCAGACGTGGGGGCGTCATTCTCACTATTTGTTGGTAAAAAGCAGCTCAAGAGTTGGCGGTGAGTAACTAGCTGCCTTCCCTCTAATCTATCATTTGAAAATTAGAGACGGCAGTGTAGATAGCCTTCGAGTAGCTTTGCGCGAAATTCAACAAACAAACAAGCTTATGGAATCTGGCTTAGAATATAGCATTTACAGATTTCTGACACTTGTTATCCTTATCTGTAAATCATAAAAAATGACATAGCTGCACAACTATATATATGTATTCATAAAGAAAATGTTCAGTAACATGACATCTAGAGCGAGTGGTTTTTGTGCTGGACTTTGGATCGCGTCCTGTTACCACAAAAGAAAAAAAATCCCACTCCGTACTTTGGGGCGGTGGGCGCGTTATAAGAGTGAGGGTAAAATTCTATTATTCGACAAAGAGTAGCTCAAGAGTTGGCGATGGGTGATGAGCGCGTTATAAGAGTGAGGGTAAAATCCTATTATTCGACAAAGAGTAGCTCAAGAGTTGGCGGTGGGTGATG